CAATTTGATAACTTTTTTTTAATCTTTTTGATATTTTGTTTTCTATTTTTATTTTATATTTTTAATTATTTATGGTTTTTTAATGTTTTTATTTATTTTGATTCAAGTAAATAAACTTAAATACGATAAACCTTGTCGAAACCGTTTTTTCTTAAACTTTACCACCATTAACATAAAAAAAAATTTACGAGGACCGAATATTTTAGCTTTTTCATAGAAAAAGGAAACAACAGGTGCTAAGATTACCGGAATATGGGGAGCATGTGCATTGACAATGCTGATATATTAAAAAACAATTGGATTGGAATCTATCCAAAAATATATAATGACTATGCACTATAACCTAAACGAACTGAAGGAATCTATCAATGGTTGAACTAATGTAGCCTTGTCTTTTTATATGAATATTTTGATATGCGTACATTTTATTATTCGTTTAAAAATTGCTTTTAAATGCTGTCATATATATAGTAACATTATAAATGAACTTTGTTTTAGGTGAATTGATTACACATAACATCTGTATACTTGTATGAATTTATAACTTTAAAATAGAGCTTGTTTGCATTTCTTGTACATTTCATATTATTATTAGTTTAGTCGATGGCATTTAGTATTTACTGCATCAATATATGTATATTTTAGGTATATGTATGGTAAAAATAGTTGATAGCTGCTAACCGGAAGTTAGACGTTATAATTTTTATTTGGAGTAGGAAGCCTAGCTTATATTGGTAAAGAAGTAATTAGAAAAGTAGTGTAAGCTTTTAAAATATGTAAAATACTAAAATTGCATAAAGGTGCATTCGGTGAAAGACTTAAAATTGAAACATAATGATAAAAAATTCATTGTCTAAACTATAACTTTTCAAAATTGAGATTTTTTCATTTCATTAAAAAATCAAAAGTCACATGGCAACGTAAAAGGTATAGTTTAAATTCTTCGATGTCGAACACTTTATATAAAGTAGCAATATCAATAAGGATACACTTCATATTATTATATCATTTGTGTAAGTCTTCATTAGTTGTGTAGTAGATATTGTAAAAAAGATCAACAATAGTCTTAATCCATGGTTTGTGATTGAGTAGTATCTAACATGAATGTATCTAAGTTCTTTGTTTAAATGGATAGCCTTGGCATCTTTATTATCATAAAAAGTATTTCCAAACTTGTTGGGGAGTCTTGGTTCTCCATATGATCATTTGTAACATGAAATGTAAAATTGCTCCATAAATCCACAATTTCACAATGAAGTTGATCTGCATCCATTATGCACCATCAGGTTTAGAGAGAAACACCTTACTGTTAGAGTCATTGATATGTTCATCAACTTAAAATTTGATGCACTGCGTTTGGAAAATCTCCCTTTAAACATTGTCATCAAGTGATCGAAATCAAGAAGGAAAGGGATATATGCCTCAATATTAGTAATGTCGTATGGTTTTTTTGTGGAGAGATTGGAGGTATCATCCATGACATTTTAGCAACAACTAGGGTTAAAGATTGTAGATGAGAATATAAAAGGGAAGAAAGAGATACATATTGAAATAAGGCTAATATCATCCCAACCAACTTGTCAAGTTTGTTTAAAAGGTCACTTAATTATTTTTTTGTACATTAAGGGAACGAACTCCGATTTACCTGCTAAAAAGGTACATTAACTTGTAATTACCGGTTCCAGCTTTATTTCACTAAAAAAAATAAAAATAAGAGGGTGTTTGACTTAGCTTTTGTGGGGCAAAAGTCCTTTTTGTAAAATGACTTTTTGTAAAAGGACTTTTTACAAAAGTTGTTTTTTTAAAATGTGTTTGGATTAGCTTTTGAAGGGAAAAAGTTAAAAGTTAAAGTGTTTGGGTTAACTTTTAGGAGAGAGTATGGAATCACATGCTGTGAATGAAGAATTGATTAGGATAAATGAGGGTATATTGGTAAAATAATATTTTTACTGTTGAAAAGTTGGGAAAAGTCACATAATCGTGACTTTTCAAAAAAGCTCAATTTACTCTATTGGAAAAGTCATTTCCAAAGTCCTTTTCACTTAAAAATATCTTTTTGACTTTTTCTAAAAATAAAAGTAAAAGTCATTTTGAAAGTTAAAACAAACACCCTCTAAAACCCACATCATATCATGTCTCGTTTGTGATTCTTTAATCTTAGATCGATTGGATTATACAACCTAATCAAATGTGATGTATCAGTGAAGGCGATTAACCCCATTTACATTTACCTGTTCTTCAAAAAGAATTCCGTCAAGGCCTGGTCGATTTAGCGGATGTTTGCCGATATAGGGCATTTCTATGTTCCGTCAATACAGATTGATTTCTCGTTTGTGGTTGCCACCATTGCGGCTGTGATTGCTAGTCATTAGGCAATGTACATGTGGTGTCTTCATCATCGGATTACAGTGGGAAGATGCCTTAAATTTCCTCGAGAACATACGATGTAAAAGAGATTGAATCGAATTCATAATGAATCTTCCAAAAAAGCTTTTGATTTGTTTGTATGCGTCTTTATTTTGAAATCATACTTTGTCTTTATTTTGTAAATTTTTGTATGCGTCTTTACTCTGTGTTTCATAATGAATCTTCCAAAAAAGCATAATGAAGTCTGAAACGAACGTTTACAGAGAACCATACAAGCAGATGATGATCCGATATCTTGTACCCTGTTGAAGACATCTGGTAACAATCGAAAACATCTACAACTTGTTCTGAATATTCTTCGAGTCCCATTTTCCAATGAAGCTTCATTGGAAAATCGGAAATTGAGTCTATCAAAATCACTCATCTAATCTCCTCAATCTTGTTTTCCTTTATTTTCTGAATTATGAAGAGAGGATGGATGCACATGCATTAATTTTTGGAAATTTACTAAACATGTTAGAAAAAAAATAAAAAAAAAGAGGTAATAAGCAATGCATAGAAGGTGTTCGACAAAATGCTTGAAAGAATAATTTTGCCACCTCTTAAGTATTAATCCCATTTATCAAACATACATCATCACATTTGACCGGACTATCCGGTATCAAGTTAAATAATGACATTTTAAAACAGTAAATTCAGACTTCGTTCCCTTAATGTGCAAAAATAATAATTAAGTGACATTTTAAAACAAACGTGACAAGTTCGTTGTGTTAAAATGACATTTGCCCATTGAAATATCATAGATGTATAATTAGCTCTAATACCATGTAAGATATTACTTTCATATGAACCAATGTCTCTCATTAAGTAGAATAAAGAGGTGTTTTCTTTTAAATGGTAGAGCACCCCAAGATTATAATAGATATACAATTATGTATGAGAGTAGTCCTGAAATGGGTTGATTTTCATAATATACATATTAAATAAGACATTAATAATCCTAAGGGCAGTCCGCCACATTAGTCTACCAAAATTCATGTCACTATTTTCTGATATAAAACAAATACATGTCTTCCAAACCAATGTAATGTATAATTCAAGCACATAAGAATTTCATCGAACATTTTGGCATTCGTCTAAAAAACAAGGAAACTTAACCATATATCACAAAAAATCAAGGACATTAATTACAAATAAAAGAACATAAAACCGAGAAATCATTTAAATAAATCACATGAAAATTCAAAACATCAAGCGTTTTATCAAACCTTAAATGTAATGTCTCCACATATTATGTTTTCAAATGAATATGAAGACACCCCCTCTTTAGCATCTTTATTACTCCTATATAAACCCTACCAAAAAAAAACCCTTAAATAAAGAAAGCCAATAAGGATACATAAATATTGAACTCAAGACCCTAAATTGAGAAAACATGATCGAACAAAACCCATTAAAACTCTAAATGCAAACACATGCGATATGCACTCTGGTGGAGGCACCATTTGTAGTCTCACAAGTAGTAGTCACTCACATAGGGTTTCGAAAAAGATGGGTTGAAAGGTTTCACAACTCGCACAAAGTTGAAGATGAGCTCTTTCCATTTTTAGACATACGGGTTCAACAAAGTTTTCAATTTTAAATGAATATGATTCAAAGAGGTTTTCTAGTTCATGGCAGAATATTATATATTGGTTTTAAATGAGATTTGAACTTAGATCGATGGTTTTGGTTCTATGGTCAATTCAAATGATACTTATACAATGTTCCATGTTGTAAGTTTGTTCTTCCTCCTCCCGTTCCATGATTTTAATTTTGATTATATTTAGGGTGGTGGCAAATCTTGTCGTGTTCGCCTGTTCGGGTTGGCGGGTCGTGTATTGACAGGTTATAAAAGCTCAATCCAGACACGACTCATATAAATATTTGTATTGTCTGCTCAACCTTAACCCTAATCAGCCATAAATATGTGAACCCGTATAACTTGTTTAATTGATAATCGTGTTCGTGGAATCATGGGTCACGAGAAAAAAAATATTATATATTTATTTAGTAGTCTTTACTCTTTCATTTATTCAATAAATATATTACTTATTTTAATCTAATAAAATAAACGAGTTCACGAGTCAACCCATAAAATTATTTGCAAAACCGAACATAACCCCTATAATAAATTGGTAGGCAGGTTGTGGTTGCGGATTCAGGTTCATGTCCTATGGATAATACAAAAATTTTACCACCCTAATTAGAATCTAAAAGTAATTGAATATTTAAAGAAAATTGTCATATCGTTGAACACCACCACATGACATAATACGATCAAAAATTGTCGATATTAATATCATATATGCGTTAAAACGGCTTTGATACACGATATCAAGTCGCAATAGTTGCACACAAAAAGAATAAATTAACAAATAACAAGAACATCATAACCTAAAAAAAACATATTGGTAATGGTTATTTTCATTCCTTTAACATTATTTTTCTTGAAAAAAGCAAGACCAATTTAATGATTTATATCAAACCTTCAAAAAAAAAAAAAAAAAAAAAAAAAATGTCACACCCCTAGCTTGCAAACAACGTGATTGTTCATATAGAAATGAGAAATGTGAAGTGGGGCCTTGGAGGGCCATTCAAGTTTCAGTCTTTGTTTACACTCTCTAGTCTTCCCCCTCTTCTATGCGATGCGCATTTTCTCCTCTCCAAACACTGCAATGACGACACCGGCTAAGACGTGCTCCCTCTGGAAAGCACCAGTAAACTGCAGTAACCGGAGCACAGTGGAATCAGGAGCAGTAGTAAATGCGACGAGTTTGAAAATATCATCCAATCGGAAGTGTGCAGGTTGTTTTAAATTGAAAGTAGTGAATTCGTTATCCAACAACGGAAATGGAAGCGCTAGCGGTGGAGCTCCGGTGACATTGCCATTTTCTCCGACGAATAATGGAGCTGCCTCGCCACTTTCTTCCAAGTAAAACTACTCTTACCAACCCTTGAATTAAATAATTAATTGATTGATTGATTTGATTGAGAATGAGTTTTCGATGTTGTACACTGGTGATTCAAAAAGTTGTTATGCATATACATCTTTTGATCAAAATAAATTTTGTTTATGCATTGACTAGAGTGAAACGCCACACAATCTCAGTGTTTGTTGGAGATGAAAGCGGTATAATAAACCGAATTACAGGGGTTTTTGCTAGAAGAGGTTACAACATTGAATCTCTTGCTGTTGGCTTGAATAAGGACAAAGCTTTGTTCACCATAGTTGTCTCTGGAACTGAGAAGGTCTTGCAACAAGTTGTAGAGCAGCTCAACAAGCTTGTTAATGTCTTAAAGGTTGCATCCTTTTTCTGCTAAGTGGCTTTGTTTGACTATCAACCTGAATTAAAAAGTATTGTCTGATTTGTTCAACGCTGTTTTGATGCATCAGGTGGAAGATCTTTCAAAGGAACCACAGGTAGAACGGGAATTGATGCTTGTGAAGCTTAATGTCAATCAAACCACAAGATCTGAGGTTTTATTTTCTCTACTTGAATCATTTTTTTGACTTTCAGAAGACTTGCATATATGTATTGGTTTCTATCTTGTTAATTGATTACATATGAGATTGAAGATTGATACGCTGTTACTTCTCCTTCAGATTATGTGGCTAGTAGACATCTTTAGAGCCAAAGTTGTGGATACAACAGAATACTCATTGACAATAGAGGTGACCTATTTCATTACATCTGAGCACTTACATGTGACCACTGACTCGTTATAAACATACACTCATACAATTAAAATAAACGACACTTGTTAATAGTAATTTAGCCAAGTTTGTAATGAAAAAGCTCCTCTGGTTAATCAGGTCACTGGGGATCCTGGGAAGATGGTTACTGTTCAGAGAAACTTAGCCAAATTTGGAATCAAAGAGCTCACAAGAACAGGGAAGGTGAGATGTGTCTTGAATGTCCTTTTTCATGCAACACACACACACACACACTAACTGTGTATGCTGCAAATTGTAGATTGCTTTAAGAAGAGAAAAACTGGGCGAAAGTGCTCCATTTTGGAACTTCTCTGCAGCTTCTTATCCAGATCTGGAAGCCCCAACTCCAATTCCTACTGCCTCAAGTATAACTCACACGGTTGATGAGAACTTGAGTGTGGTTTCAAGGGTATATTCTTTAATCTTTGCAGGTTTCTATTTGTGATAATTACTTCTTTTTTTTTTTTATTATTAATTTGAGTTATGATATATTTGTTTGAATGAAGGGAGATGTTTATCCTGTGGAGTACTACAATAGGTTCTCAATGAATCAAGTCCTTGACCCCCACTGGGGTGTGCTTTATGAAGAAGATGTAAGATATGCATCAATTTCTCAATTTTCATTAATTTAGCAAATAGTTTTATGGGGTATAACTGAGATTTGAAATTAATAAAACAGTCAACTGGTCATAAGTCTCACACTGTCAACATTCTTGTGAATAATGCTCCTGGAGTTCTCAACCTGGTCACCGGGGTTATATCCAGAAGGGGTTACAACATCCAGGTTTGGTTTTTTTTTTTTTTTTTTCCTTATATAATTTTTTAGGTAAAATGTTTACTTTTTTTTTTTTAATAACAATATTAAAAAAAAAAAAAAAACTGTGTTGTGTAATGTGTACAGAGTCTGGCTGCAGGTCCTGCAGAAATGGAGGGTCTAGCTCGGATTACAACTGTGATTCCTGGAACAGATGAATCTATTGACAAATTGGTTCAACAGTTTTACAAACTGGTGGATGTTCATGAGGTGAAAGATATTACATATTTGCCATTTGCAGAACGTGAGCTGATGTTGATCAAAGTTGCTGCAAATGCTTCTGCTCGAAGGGATGTTCTGGACATTGCCTGCATCTTTCGAGCTAAACCTGTTGATGTTTCTGATCACACTATCACATTAGAGGTCGTTTTTCTTTTAAAATAAAATTTCGTAATTCAGTAATCCCGTTTTCTACTTTTCTTTATATTGATATTTTCTGGTTTTCATATTCCAGCTCACTGGAGATTTTAATAAGATGCTTGCACTGCAAAGGTTATTGGAGTCGTATGGGATTTGTGAGGTTAGTATTAAAGTTTGATCTTTAACTATTCTTTTTTTTTTTTTTAATCTTTTATAAAAATGTGCACATTTTAATCTGAAGGTTGCAAGAACGGGTCGGGTGGCATTGGTGAGGGAATCGGGGGTGAATTCTGCATATCTTCGTGGATTCTCTCTTCCAGTCTAATAAACCACAAAGCTTCTTCATGTTATTTGTTGTTGTATTACTATTAATGGTTGGTTGATCTTCATGCAAGTTATATTTTATATTTTATATAAAATAAATGCAAGTTACATGGCGGAGCAGCGGACCCAAGAAAATTTTCTACCAGGGAACAAAAATTCCTTTCTTTGCTCACCACCGCTGGCAATAGAGAAAAACTACAATAAAAATCGATCTTTGTTGTTATAATGTTATTCACAAATTAGTTGAATAAACTTGTAACATTAATCTATGTTCTTGTTGATTATAAGTAAAAGTTTATGTGTTTTATTTCTGACATATTCACAAAAATACCATTCAAATGTTTGTATAAGTCTATGTAACCATCTATTTCGGCCTTCACCAAAATAACCAGAGATTCTAAAAATGAATGACAAGGATTTTGGATTCTGGACAACTCCCATTTCGGATTTCAGACGACCATTCTTTTTAATTATTTTTCCCTTTCTAACTGTTCAAATGCAGTTATACAAATCCAATCAACCCTGTTTTTCTTCACAAATAAAATAGTTGAAAAGAAGTCACCAACTCCCATATAACAATGTTATTAATGTATTTAACCAACTCCCACCTAACCAATCCCTCTTTGAATTCATCTAAATTCCCATTTACCATCTTATCCAGCTATTGTATAAACATGATTCACACTAAAGTGTACCACAACATGATTCACACTAAAGCATAACTGAGTCATTCATTCTACAAATTAACTCAAAAGCTTAACTTTATTGTTTTTTCCCAAAATGTCTTCCAACTTACATTTAACCGCCTTTCGAGCTCAATGTACACGCCAGAGAAGCAGCATATGAAAAGATGAAAGGCGCTTCTAAACGATTCGGCCAAGGAAAGAAAAAATATTATACCAGCTATGGTGGATGATTAACAAAATAAAAAATCAAAGATGTTGAAGGGTGGATAAAAAAGCCGAATGTATGGTTGAGGTTATATAGTCAGATTTTTGGAGATAAAAAAGCCGAACATATGGTTGAGGTTACATAATCAGATTTTTGGAGATTTGTAGAGGATATAAATAGAGCAAAAACATGGGTTATTTGTGCACAAGAATTTCTAAAACACTAATACTTAATATCTTAAATAATTACTATTGAAGCCTAAAAAACTAGTGAGAAACACAATTTCTACCTATTTGAAACAAAAACCCTTTCCAGACAAATTTTTTGGATTGCACACAAGGATCTTTATTTCAGACCGAGTTTTTTTCATAATGTAACATGAAAAATATGATTTATAAACTAGTAGAAACAACATACTCGTTACACCTGCATCTCTTCCCTAGATAGTTCAAAATGATATGGGTACCACATTTCAGATTCCTTTTAAGTTAAGAGTTGTTTACACCCCCATTGGGTCTCGGGTCCAAAATGATTTGTTTCTGAATTGGTGGTCATTTTTGTAAATTGCAAAAATATGGGTTATTTTCTGTGATCCTAAATTAACAAGTTGTCATTTTTTGTGAAGATCCTTATATTTCCTTTTTTGGAAACAAATTATAAAAGAACTTGAGCTTTTTTAGACTACCAAGCTTCCAAGGAAGAACATAGCAAAATGCGATACTTTGTATGAATTGCAAAATCCTATGAACCATCGAGTTTGCCCGAAGCCATCTGCCCTAAGGGAGCAATTGTTTGGGCATCACACATTGTACCGATCCCCACCATACTTCCCTAACAGGTACTAACGGTGTTGAGGGAGGATACAGGATTCCTGTGTTTGTGTTACAGTTGGCCTAGATTGGAGCCCCTTTCAGCACAGCTACCAGTGAAAAAAAAAAAAAAAAAAAAAAAAAAAAAAAAAAAAAAAAAACTAATGTAGGTACTCTTGCAAAAACCAATGTTGATTTAAGGTTGAAAAATGTGATTCCAGTGTACAAAAATTATGGATCACTCATAACATATGATACTTGGAAAAAGCAACCAATATTATTCAAAAAATCTCACACATATTTGCTATTCATCTTAATAATATACGAGGCTTGTAAAAGCTTATATACAACTCCAACTTCCGAACATTAAACTCCTAATCTTAACAAGTAATATCAGGCATCCCCATCCTCAACAATATAAAAAAGAGTAAGAAAATATAACAAACAGTTACACTCACTCATTCCCAAAAAAAAAAATCCCTGTTCGGACCAAAATAAGTTCAAGGGGTATGAAGGTCTCGTATATGGTCAACCACATCACGTGAGCCACTGAGCCACTTAGCATCAGCCCGGTGAAGCACATTCCCATGGACCCGGTTCAACTCCTCATGTTTGGGTTCCATAGGCATAGACCTGCCCGACAAGCTTTGTGTGTGCCTGACACGAACCCTATGACATTTTTTCTCAACTGTACAACTTCCCCTCCTCACTTCCACCATCAACATAACTTCCTTATCACGCACATCTTCACACCAACTATTTTGAGGTTCACCATCCACATATTCCTCCATAGTTTCATATCCTTGATGATGAACACATATCTCAGCTATATGATTTGGTTCTATTATACCACTCGTTGGTTTCACCTGAAGAAAATATAGCCCTTAGTTACTCACTTTATCTGTAATAGTACAGAAGAGAAAACAATTTACCTCAAGCCAACGTGGAAAACCGAAAGAGCCTCTTGGCTGGTGATCTGATTCTTGTTTTCCATCTTTAATGGTGCATTGACCTTCACATATGACTCTAAATAAAGCTTTGTCTTCCCCACATTTATTCGTGATTCGTAAGATTGATTTATCATCGTCTTGAAGAATTATATTGTTTGTACTCATAATAGCATCCGGAACATTGTTTTGTTCTTTCAGAATATTTCTTATTTTCTTATTGGATTTTATAATTTCTCCAAATATTTTTCTTCTTTTTGGCTCGTCCACTCGAGCCACCTCCACGTTAAAGATGCACCGCACAGGCTTATGATCACTATCTGTCACATCCATGCAAGCTTCATACCTGAACAAAAGCAAACATATATATAAGTATATAATCATCATTACATTTACACTAATCAAGATTAAGTAAAAACTTACTGTAAAACTGAAGAAACTACAGGACAGTTTAGATTGCATGTGTCTGATGAATCCAGACGGCTGTCACGATACAGGATTCGATCACACCATGCGGGAATACGTTTTTTTTCGCCCGAATCATAACCTATAAAAATTAACAACTTAGTCCCATTTTAAGCAATTTCATTACTATATATGATAATTAAAACAGGCTGTGTTGTATATTACTATATATATATATATATACCTGCTAAGCCAGGTTGATGCCTTTCGAATTTGTATGTAGGTGGAAATGTGATAACAGCTTCACGCATTCCTTGAAAAACACTTCCGGCTTTCATTTCCATATGTAATTGATCTTTCTCTCTAAGCCAATCAAAGCTTCTTTGAGAGATAAAATCCCGTGCTTCATCATAAGATATATCATCAAGCCGATAATTAAAGTCACCTAAAAAGACAACCATGTCTGCTTCAGATAGCTCTGGCGACTCATCCACAGACAGGCTACCCATAGCCTGAAAAAATAGAAAGGGCAAATTGGTTATTTTGGGTTAAATTTTATTTCCAACGGATCAAATGGGTGGAGAATGTACCTACATTTGCAATACGAACCATAGAAGTGACTCCAGCTGCAAAAAGTAAGGTGGGAAGAAAGAGAGAACCATAGAGAATCCAAAGTGAATAAGATGAGGTGGCAAGCAAGCAAAATAAGAAAAGGTATGACATCATCATAATCATACCAGCTGATGTTGTATTCAGAAGATTTGATGGACGAGTGAATGACATTGTTTTGTATACATGATCAAAATCAGCATTACGTCTGTTAACAGCATCCAGATGTGCAGCAAAGTGACAGTTCACAAAACATATAATCCGCCCATAGATTCTCATCCTCAATCCAACTCCTCCCTGTTGACACACCAGTAAATTTATTAGTTATTATTACATTAACTAAAAGTAAATGAGAATTTTGAAATGCAGTTACCTTATTACCAATAGCATTTCCAAATCCACATGGAACTGCTGCCAACTCAACATCTCCAACATTACTTCTAATACTGTTTCTCACCCTGACATTCATCACAGAAGTTCAATGTCTACATATCTGATGAAGATAACGAATCTGAAATCAATGAAATACTCACCACACTCCAATCAGCATGCCTGCCAGCTGTCGAGAACCAACACGATAAAAACTTGAACCTTCATCCAAGGTTTTCCCAATCATGTCCAACCACCATTGTCCAGCAGAGCTTCCCTCAAGACCTACCTGCATCTGAATGATAAAAGAACTAAAAAAACAAAAACAAGCAAGAATATTAATGGATATGAAAAGGTTAAGAAAAGTGTCTTACAGTTTCTCTAGCAGCAGACATTGCAAGAAACCCAGCACCCATTTCAACCTCCTGCAACCCAACAGCAACAAAGTCAACATCTTTGACTGCAGACCCCAGCCATGATATAAGTGAGTCTTGTGTTGCTCTTCCTTCTGCTACATTCCATGTAGTAGCCAAGATTCTAAAATTTTCTAATTTTGTGTATTGTGATTCTTTGCGAGATAACTCTGAACGTAATATGGTATCAAGGGGCCCAGGGGAGGATATACTCCATCCACGTGTCACTCCATCATTGGCTAATGTAAAGATATAGCCTGGCCCAATAGCCATATCAATGATAGGAGTCTTGTGAGCAACCCACTCTCCAAGTAAACTACCATCAAGATCCATTACATGAAGATACCCGCTTGTATACCCAATCCATATCCGTAACCCGAATGTACATAAAGATCGAATGGGATGAGGGTGAAAGTGGAATTCTTGCAATCGGTTTCCATTTGCATCCCATTTTATGATTACTCCATTTGCAGATCCTGTCCAGATGTTTCCATCAGTTGTTATGATTAAGGCTTCGATTCTGCGGTTATCTTCAAAGAAAGCTCCTTTGGCTGCAACACGAAGAACAGCATCAGCTGCTCCCATGATTGCATTACGTGAACGTTGAAAGAAACTAATTGTAGTTTGTGGTTTTTCTTTTTTAGGATAAGATGCAAATTTCATCTTTGCTTCTTCTTCTGGTGTCAGGTCCTGTATTGCTGTCAAATTTTCAGCTAGGCCATCGATATTGAACACTTTTAACAACTCTCTCGTGTATGCATCCCTGCAGTTCAACAAATCTTTAAATGCTCAT